ATTCATATGAAAAACGTCCATCAACATCTAACTTAATATTAAGATAGATTGTATTTGCTGTCAGGGTCATTGTATCGACCATAGAACTTTGCCAAATGATATGGCTTTAAAAGGGTTTGTTGTTGGTTTTTTTGTTTTGTTTCAGCAACTTATTTTTCAATAGCCTGCTTGCCTCGTTTTAGCAATTTTTCGTAAGTAAAACATTCTCTTGTAGAACAAATATACTTAGATACATAATCGTTAATGCAGGTGATAAGGATATATTGCTACATCAGCAAGGAGAAGTGATGATATAAGAGTTGACATCGCGTTTATCATAAAGCTTTGTTTGTTAATTGCTATTAACGTCTTTTTCTAGTAAAATATTTAAATATTAAATAGGTGTTTCAGACTCTGTGGTATCTTTTATTCCAAGCTCCCAGGGATAGATTGAGTCAACACATAAATGGAGCTAACTATTATTAAATGTTAACATATATAGTAACATTAATGCTGCGAGAATAGGCAACACAACTAACAAGTCAAATAGTGTTCTCAGTTTATGGTCTTGAGGCCCTGCATGCAATTTTCATATTTAAATTACGTATATAACTGCATTTTGATGATTTTTTCTTTATTATTTCATACTTTTTAAAACATGCAAGAGCATGCTCTACGAATGAACATTTTCTAAAACGAGGTAAATTATTGACAAACAAGTTGATGAAACAAAAAGTTCAGCAGTTTCGTTTAAAGTTATCATTTCGTAAGTTCTATGGTCGATACAATGACCTTGTCTGCAGATACAACTTATCTTTGAGTCAAATCCTGACTGACGTTTTTCATACTCATTGTTAGTTCATTATTTGTACACTGAATTTACAACAGATTTTTTCCGTTATTTACCAATCATGACAAGGAGCACGCGGTGGGTGTGACCGGTCGGCAGGGGATGCTCACTCCTCCATGGCACCTGATCCCACCTCCGAAGTTTTGGAGGTCTGTGTTTGCTCTGTTCCTATTTTGTATTGTTAATGGACTTTTGATCTTGAATACTGTTTGTTATCTTCATATGTTTCATGCAAAGGTTATCGTTCTCGCCCAGTGTCTCATTACTTTAAAAATCACTTCAATATCGAGTCCTTTAACTTAGTTTTAGTTAACGAGGAGGTACAATACAAATCCATCAGGTAAAAAAGTTTGCTTCAGACATTAACAATAGTGACATTTCAAAAAATAAATGTTTCAATGTAGTTAACTTGTTCAATAACTAGAATAAAGGAGGATTTCCATTACCCTAGCCTCGCTTCTGTAGGATTTGGATGACTTTAGTGCAAAACATTCAAAGCATCTCCTATCATCCCTGTGTTAAGGGAGATTTTGCAGCCTATCTGGTGTCAATAAACATGTCGCAATTAATTTCCATCTATCCATAACCTCCATTTTTATTGAATCTATCGCGGTTTATTCCACTTTGCTGTCGATTCGATTTACAAGAGAAGCTAAGATGAACATATTGGCACCGACAGAGAGAGAGACTTTTTGTGCTCCCTGTGATACATCATTCCGGGGAAATCAGAGACGAATCTGAATCCTATGTGGAGAGCCTCGCTCGGAGACCGGTCGATTTCAATCTGACCGTTTCCTGATGACCATTCTGCCGAAGAGATTCTCCGTACGTGGCATGACAACGCTGTCTTGCTTCTTCGGAGTCCTTATGAATATTAATGAAGCTTATTTTTCGTTACTTTCCACATCTTTACTTTTTCGAAAATACGGCTAATAATCAGAAGCTGACCGGCACTTACAATCCGGGCCTGCTGTATTAGCTTCTCGATTTATTCATTACTGGACGAAAGGGATTATGTAAATGACCTTTTAGGAAAATCATTTCTTGCCTAAGACAGCGAAAAATGGAGGAGTGGCAATCTGAAGCTGCCATTTTGTGATTGGGAACTCTTCTGCGAGTCACTGCTGGCATCTATTGTCAGCTCATGTCTCTCTGGGGTGAACCTGACTACGGACTGGATAGATTATCATATCACCTCGTCTTCGATTCAAACACTCATGCAATGAATCGAATTATTTCTTAAAAGAAATTTCATAAGCACTTGTCAGATTTGAACGAGACCACTTCAAGATCTCGTTTTTTCTTAAAAGGTTTCAAGATCATGTCTGACTTCCAATGAAAACTAGATAAGACGTTAACTTAATTATTGTTTGGGTTCATATTTTCCCTCAAGTTGCAATTTCACCTACAATCTAAAGCATTATCCAGATACACTATTCCCTACATTTATAGTGTTAAAATAATGTTTAACTTGCGGAATTACGAAAAAGGCAATTTTGATTTAGCACAAAATGTTTTCCTCTGAAGAACGAAAGTGCAATGTTGTCACCCTATAGACTCCGTAGGGAGAAAAAAATCATACAGAAAGATTTGTGATGCATGGATCGAAAAAAACGACTCCAATAAAATAAAAGGAAATGGTTATATTCTAACAAAGAGCAATTGATTCCTCACTGTCTTAAAAGCTTGTCAAGAATCTTCCAGAAGACGGTACTGAGATCTCCTCAAAATGTCCACCCACGGAGGCCATACACGTGCTGTTGTGATATATATCTCATTTTCATTTTGCTCTCAAAACTCAGAGATCATGCCCTTTGATAAATGCATATGTACTCTGCTATTGTTGCGGTTTTTCTATATAACAGAGATACCGGTGATGTCACCTGGAAATTAATTGGAAATATTCCTCTGCGAGTAATCGCAGGTCGTTAGAATTACAAACATTCTTAATTATTCATAAATAGCTAGAAGAGATGACGACTGCTAAGACAATGTTTAAATCCGATGATGATCTATAATTGGTTATTTTATCAGGTCTTTCGTGTACAAGGAATTCGGTCTTTTTTTAGCACTGTATGGCGAAAAGTAAGTTTCATTTTTTCTTCAAAAAGTAAGTTGCATCTGCAGTATATAAATCTTTAAATTATTACAACAAAGCTTAAATGCAGACGATTCCGAAGGGGAACAGTCCAAGTTCAAGGTCACATGAAACGTCGTTCAACATATGTGTTGTATCTCTTTTTTAAAATCAAATTAAAAATATTTAAAATTTTCATTCTTTTGTTAAACTTTCGAAGTTGCTTTCTGTGTGTTTAAAAAAAAAAAACTTACTTCACCAAAAATTGTGAAATTGGCAATTCAATAAATTAAGGTTATTAATAAGGATTATATAAGAAATATCACCCTCTGGTGTCTTGCAAAAATGGTAACGTACCTCAATATTTTGTCAGGTAACTTGTTTTACTAATATAATACCCCAAAGACAAATTCTTGGAGAAAAATATTTTGTCTGAGCTAAAAATATTAAAAAGAATAATTTATTGTCTGCACCAGAAATAGACCCTTCTCAACTTCTGACGCTTAGGGGAGGAAACCATTATGTCAGTTGCTCGAAATTTTTTTTTTATATCGACAATCGAAAAGATAAGTATCATAATCTCATATTGATCTGTAATGTGAGATAACGTCTACAAACATATGTAGAAGCAGAGCGTGTTGACATATAGTCGCACCAGGAAACAGCTGGTGGTTCAGAGAAAGACTAACGGATCGCCCATTTTATATGCTATAACAGGTGCTCTTCGACATAATAAAGTCTTTTGTTATAAACAGTACATGGGATAATCGAGTTACACTTCATTTAACACATCATATATTATGGATTTGATATTGAAATTTTATTCTAAAAACATTATTCAGCTGAAAAAGGTAACAGGTCTTTTTTACTTCTCTAATGGAATCCATCATAGATTTACGCTGAATATTTTTAATGGCGTAAAGAAGTGATAAAAGTTGGTTTTCATTATTTTAGACTGAATGAGTAAAAGAAAATAATAATAAAAGATGTACCTATTTATTATCAAATGTTCAACGTCAAATAAAGCAAACCTTACAGAAGTACTCTACCGAGTTTAATTGTGTGATCCACGTGGTATTTAATTAGCTTGATAAGACCATCCCTGAGATCAAAGACGTAGTAATAAGCGCATCATGAAAATTCAGGAGGAAAACGAGAGTTTGAATTAAACTATTTATCCGTGGACATATTGTTGCATGTTTGTTAAAATTAGTTTATGCAGCATTTACATTCTCTGACACTCGAAGGAAACAGCCCGCTGTCATCTCTACAGACTTGTCAATAGAACTGCAGAAAAAAGAGTTTAAACAAATAACCAGGAAATGGAATTATTTCGTCAGAGTCCGTGTGATTAGGTTTCTGAGAGTTTCAGGATTAGTCATTTTGTACGCTTTCTACAAGGAAACATTTCAATTTGATCTCAATTAGCAGGTCCTCAAACAACACATTTTTTCAAGAACACGTTCCACAGAAAATACATATAGTGTCAAAAAATGGCTGCATTAAACTTTCTCGCTTTCTCTCTCTTTCTCACACACAATTTATATGTACATGAATATTAATTTTGGTTATAGAAGATGAGGTACAAAGGCTTTTCAGATGCGATGCAATGGCTTCTTTTAATGCATTCTGCCTCTTTTCTTTAGTACATATTGATCGTATATTGTCCCTGAATTCTCTTTCGAAAAGGAACGCTGTTCGTAATTTTTGGCATAAATTAGGCAGTAAGAATAAAACTGCGTCAAGTAACAAATCATTTATGCTAAAGAATGAGATTTTTCATAATTTATTATATCTTTCTTATTTAAAGGCGTAATTTTATTGTGGATAAGTGATTTCCATGATGTATATTTATTACATTTTTTACGCTTGAAAATTCATTTCCATAAATTTTACGGTGCAAGAAAATAATTTCAATAATGGTTTGGCTATAAAATAGGATATACTTCATGAAATTTTAATTCAAAACCTATTTGTTTTCCCTAAATAGAATATTTGAAATATAATCTATATTCTAGCTTGCAGAAAAAAAATCGTTTATTATTATTTTTTTATTATGGAAAAAGGTTTGATTGATGATGTCTAGTAACTTACCGACTCTGTGTGGATTTTCCATGCACAAAGACACATGTGATAGAAGGAAAACAAGCGTCACGCCTAGGATCAGCATCGCTGAATATATACACCGTCCGCTGATGTAAAGGGGTGTAACTCACTCAACTCGGTCATGTTCTCAAAAAATCCGCCGCCAGAATAATATTTCTTTTGTCGAACAGAAAAATCGGGTAAACATACGGTTCCAGAGAATATCCATCGTGTTATTTGAAAACAACCACCAGAAATAGCATTATCGCTTGCCCTGTTTAATTAGGCTTTCTTCTTTTCCTCCTTAAATTGATTAGCAAAGAGGAGGACAAACATTTTTTCCCGGGATAAAAATCATAAGCAACTTGGGGTATAATCCCTCTCGCATAAATCCATCGGAGTACTTTGAATCAATCCACACGGAATCAGAATTAAGGTGCCTCCCGCCGCTGTTCGGAACTTACTAGCTACGTTGCTGTTACACTCAATGTTTACCACCATATGTCGTTGAAGTAAATAAGAAATCCTTAAAGTTCTGTTCAGTGTTGATCAATCGATCGATATTGAAAAGGTCCGATCAGTTCCGAGATCGTTTCCAGATATCGGATGCATTAATTATTTCCACTGCAAATGTTTATTTTCCATTTTGCTAATGGGTATCTTCATTTACATATAAACTGTTAAGTTTGTAACCGTAAGAAGTGTCTATTGAACGGGAAAAATAACAATCAAAAAAAATTTTCCTCTGATTTTACAAATTCAGAAAACACAGATCTCTACTTGGAAAAAAGAATGGCCTATGTAACGAATATTCATATATTCCCTGGATAATCTTAGTTCAGTGGACGAGAGCCGATACAAGGAGGGATAAATATATAATAATGTTGTTCATATTCGCTAATAGTAATCAGAGCTGAGAAATGTTTACCAATATCCCTGATGGAGATGTTTGTCAGACGAAAGGGAGCAATTCTTGTTTACTTTAGAATACAGATAATTACTCTGAAACCAAGTCCAACCCGAGTTCATTTTTAGTTGTTTTTTTTTTTTTCATTTATCTAATGAGATCTCATCACAGAAAAAAAATATTTGAAAATTAATAAGCCTTTTTTCTTGAAGAATAGATAAAATAAAGTGTATCATATCATATTATTCCTCGAAATTGTTGTTTATGTGTAAAGTATGTGTAGAGCACACGATGTTATTTATTGCCTTCCATAAGGCACCTTGAACTCACTTTTTAATTATGAAAGTTTTTTTTTTCTTAAAATTTTTAGCATAGAGTTTCGTTGATACCACTGAATCTCTTAAAATATATCTTTGCTTTCAGAATCTTGAAAAGAAAAAAATATCACTGCATATATATCCTTTTACCCAATCAATTATTAACTTTGAAGACAAAGTTCTTAATCATTCTAAATAATTAACGCCTCATTTATAAATTACTTTAAGGGGTTATCGAAGTAATCAACATAGCACTTTTTAAATGTCTAATGAGACTCCTTGGAAATTCACATTAAATTATTTCTAGGATCTACGAACTATTGTACCCTTTACAAGAATTCAGCAAGAACACTTCATTGTCGAAAATCGCATTCTAAGGCATTTTAAGCAACAAAGATATCATGCAAAGAACACATTACGGATTAGCTCTCGAGTCCTCGTCACAAATTCTGATTGATCGCCTCTGTTCAGAGTGAAAATGAGCAGCAAATCCTAGAGCAGATTCAGTAAATGAATTGTAAAATATAACTGACCAGAAAATTGACTACATTACAAAAATGTCATTCATTAAAAGACAGATCAGAAATATTTCTTGATTTCTAGTCTCATGGCAAGTATTGTCCATAGAGGAACGGAAGTATTACCTGCGCATGCGTCACTTTGTCCGGAATAACCACTTCTTTTTGATAGAAAGACATTAAAGTTCATACTTGATAAACATTTGCTTATGGTCTGTCCTGATGAATACAATGACCTAATAAGCAAGTACAGTTTATCATTAACTAGAAAGCTGACTGACGTTTTTCATACCAATTGCTTGACTGTTGGACCATAATTTGCAAATTGGGCTGTCTGCAGATTTTTCCCGTTTGCCCGAGTGTGAGCGGTCGGGGAGGGATGCTTACTCCTGTGGCACCTGATCTTACTAATGATGGTGTAGAGGTGTTTGTGCTGCCCTCGTTATGTTTTATTTCACTGGAATTTAGGCTTGAATTGATATCAGTATGTTCACTTTTTAAACAGATGTATGCTATTCACTGATGAAACATATGGAGATAACGAACAGTATTTAAGATCAAAAATTCGTAAAACAATACAAAAATACAAGCAGTGCAAACACGGACCTCCAAAACATCAGAGGTGGGACCAGGTGTTATGGAGGATTGAACATCCCCTGCCGACCGGTCACACCCGCCGTGTGCTCCTTGTCATGATCGGGAAATAACGGAAAAATCTGTCGTCGATTCAGTGTATTAATAATGGACTAACAGTTAGTATAAAAACCGCCAGTCAGCATTTGACTCAATGATAAATTGTATTTGCTGACAAGGTCATTGTATCGACCATAGAACTTACGAAATGATGACTTTAAAGAAGACTGCTGATATTCTAGTTTCATCAACTTGTTTGTCAATAATTTACCTCCTTTAGAAATTGTTCATACGTAGAGCATGCTATTGCGTATGGCTAATCTAGATAAGTTCATGGTACATGTAAAAGGATTTCAATAACTTCTTTTAAGACAACATTTCGTAATTTCTGTGGTCGTTAAAGTGACCTTGCAAATAAATGCGACCTATCAAAGGGTTGTATATGTTGACGATATTTCATACAATACTTTAGGCCTTTGTTTTAATCCTTAAACCGGTCATAACGTTGGGCTCACAGTTGGTGTTACTTGTCAGCAAGAGATGTTCACAAATTTGCATTGTGTATAATTTATTAGGTTGTTAATTTCAGTTATGTTAATGTAACATTATGAAATTTATAACGTAATGGCGTTTATGTTTTTCTGTTGATTAGTTACAAAAGAGCATGTTCTGTGTTTGATCAATTTCTAAACCAAAGCATTTCTTTGGTTGCCATAATGGCAGTGCTTGTCAGTAAATAAAGCCCATGATTGAATGATACGTTGACTGACGTTTTATAAAAATTGTTAGACTTTTTAAATTTTATTCTTAATTTGACTATAGAATATTCCTTCTTCTTGATCAATACACAATTCTCTCAGTGGGTGTGACTGCTTACTCCTCCTACGCACCTGATCACACCTCTTGTATTTAAGAAATAAAGTCCGCGTTTTCGTGAATGTTTCGGAATAACCTAGCTCCGAGGTCGAGAAATGTTGTTAAAAAGATAAAAGCCGAGGCGTTAGCCGAGGCTTTTATATTTCAAACAACATTTCGAGACCGAGGAGGTTATTCTGCATCATTCACGACAACAAGGACTTTATTTCTATTCTACCAAGGACGATAAATACGGCAGATTGTTTCCTCTATAGAGAAACGAATTAGGTCACCATGTCTCGATTACGCTGTACTATTTAACACCAGAGAGAAATTTTGTTGACTTACCTATATATGGAATGCAGATATTTGAGCTTTCCTTGCATTAAAAACAGTCTTGTTTAATTACAAATTTGTTCGTAATATGTATTGATCAGTTAAAATGAATATACAAAAACAAAATCATGTTCTTGTTTTACTGCTAAAATCACGTTGTTTAATGTGTAGGGAGGTCCGTGGAATAGCCCCGCTTAGCTATAAAAACCGAAATTCATCAGCAACTTGATGCAATTTACAGTGTTTATACAGCAAAAGACGACACATCGATGCGGTCTAATCAAGTATTTCATTCTACAGCCAAACATGCATTTGAATTGTTCAGATTTGATACGTGTTTCTGATCTGATAATTTTTTGATGACGTTCGTGGTCTATTGGAGAATAATGTCCCGCGGCTTCCTTTGAAGATTTCAATAACCGTGGTAGAATCCCAGATACATCCTGTTCACAGACAAGCTCCTAAATTCCATTAAGCAATACAAAGTAGGAGCAGAACAAACACTGACCTCCAACACATCAAAGGTGGTATCAGGTGCAATGGAAGATTTAGCATCCCCTGCCGATCGGTAACTCCCTCCGTGTGCTCATTGTCATGATTGGGAAATAACGGAAAAATCCGTTGACATTTCAGTGTTTAAATAATGGCCTAACAATCAGCATGAAAAACATCAGTCAGCATTTGACTCAATGATGAATTATATTTGCTGACAGGTTATTTAATCGACCATAGAACGTCGATATGAAGTCTTTAAAGCTTAAGTGTTGGAGAACAACAAATTAAAAAAAAAACATTTTTATAACAGTTTGAATCTGTCATAATAAAAGTGACTTTTCATTGAAACGAATTCAATCGAATTAAACTCTTTTTAAAAATTTGTTTGTAAAATTCAACATTTTTTAAATTTTCAAATATTACAGATTATATTGTCCTGGAGGAACAATGACTTCCTTTCTAAGTGTTTTGACTTGGTCCTATGACTTTCTTGTTATTTTGCATTTGTTATCACATATTAAGCTATAACAAATAAGTCATAAAAAGTAAGTCAGTGTCCCTCAAGGTATTCCGTAAAATCCTGAAAAAGAAATCAAGAATATGTTAGAATGAATTTAATTCCGTAGTCAAGTTTAAACTATTGTAAAATTTGAATTTTAAAAATTTATTTTTTTCAAATATGATCACGAAAACATCTTTTAAAAATCTGAAGACGGGGAAAATATTTTCAATATTGGTGCATTTCATTTTCTTATAATGAATCATATAAAACCAGACTAAGATTTAAATGCTCTTAAGATAATAAAGATACACGAGTATTATTATAGTGCGATGGATTCCTTTTTAGATAAATATGCAAAAACAAAAATATCTTCCTCGGAGTTATTAATGAGGAAGGGATGTTATCAATAACAAGAAAGCCATTCAATATTGATCATGGATCGCTTTCCTCGGCTTATCTTAAACATATTGACCCTGTGGATAATATGATTCCAAACACAAAATGCCCACTTGATGCAAAGCAGAATTAATTAAGAGACCAACGCATGCAACTGAAATCTGGACTGCAAATTATCTTGAATAGAAATAAATATATCCAATGAAAAAAGTTTTAACTATTTATATTTTTACCAATCATCCAAATTTTTAAAGTTGTATTCTTTTTTTTAATCTTAAAGAATAATAATGCTCTGAATATGTTTCAAACTTTCAATATTACGGAAAGAAAAAAATGCGGATATCTGTCATGTTTTACAATGTTGAACGATGATATGTACAAACACACATTTTCACGTGACTGTTTCTTTTGTTTGGTCTCGCCGAGATCCGTTTAGTTCCTTATTTATGACGATATCATTTGTCCCAAAGATGTATTTTTTGACTATTTTCCTCAGTTTGGCTGACAAAACTGACGCCATTTATAGAAGTAA